CCCCCACCCACAGAAGGGGGCGGGGCGGCGCGGGGAGCCACTCGCGGCCTCGTCAGAGGACGCTGGCCCACGCCTCTGCCGGGCCCGCTCACCTCCACGCGCGGCGCGGCCACTGCGCCCCATGGACGCCCGCACTGGCATTGGAAACCCCGCCTCCCCATGTGAAGAGGCACCGACGCGCTCAGGTAAGAACGGTCTCCAGGAGGAGAATGAAAGCGCCCTCGAAGGCCTCTTTGCATTTGGGGTAAGATCCAAGTGCCAAGTGCCCACCGACCCCGAGTCTCATTCCCACTCCTTTAAGCTTATTTCTTTCGTCCATGGATAAGAGACACAGAGAGATAGAGAAAGACTGAGAGACAGGCCCCCAAAGAGGGTCCCTGAGGCTGGGGTCCACGCCAGGCCTCGCCCAGCCCTGGGTCACGGCAGGCATGTGCTGGTGTACTCAGGGAGGTCTCGGGACTCGAACCATCGCCTTCCACGTGGGACTGCCTCAGCATCGCGTTTGCGTTGTACCACCTGCAGTCCCTCCGCTTCCGAAGGGCACTGCAGGCGCCGCCGTCTGCGCAGGGCCGAGCCCGCAGTGGCGTGAGACACGCTCGACGCAGCTTCAGGCGGGGTCTCCACAGCTGCCTCACTGGCCAGCCTGGGCCAGGAGGGTGGGATGGTTCTGCCTGAAGGCAGAGTGTACCCGGAGGTCCCGATCTCATCGCCAGGCATGCTCGTCACCGCGCCGGCTCCCTGGCAGCACATCATGGCCGTGACCTGCCACCGCCAGCCTCATTCCTCAGCTGCGACCTCCCGAAGCCCACAGCCAGCCTGCCTCACACCCTACTGAGGCCCTAGCACAGCACACATAGTAGCTGCTCAACAAAATTTGCTGCAGGAGTAGATAATTGAACCCCCAGAGAATCCTATCGCCTAAAGAATAACACACGCCCAGGGGCAAATTTAAAGACATGAAAGAGGGAATTCCAAAAACACCGCGCGGCAAAGGCCATAGGTGGGACCTTCACGAAGACCCAGGCCTGCAAGTGCCGTCTGGCACGCAGCACCGGCTCTCCCTGGTCCCGTCCACGTGGCTCTTCACGCTTGCCCTTTACAGGCCGTGGGGGCTGTCCCCGAACAGGCTGGGTTTCTCCCACTGGCCTGTGGGGCTTTCAGACTTCCCAACCGCAGATTTAGCTGAGTACAGTTCGGGAAAGCATTTGAGGGCTCCCTACTTGAGAAAAGGGGCAGACAGTCCTTGAGCTCGACACACATGAAAGGAGAATGCTTCCCAGAGGGCAGGCTGGACTTGAGCACATCCTGACAGAGCGCTGTGCGGACAGGCCCGGCCTGGGGAAACTCCGTGCTGGGTTTGCGGCATGGTCACTCCCTGTACCAGCTCTGGGCCAGGGGTCTGGGCCTAAGAGCCGCACGCGGCTCTGCAGTCTTTGCACTGCCCTAGGAGGCGTGCTCACCTGTCTTACAGACCAGGACACGGAAGCCAAGAGGGCCCAGGGACCTGCCAAGCCCGCAGGGCCATAAAGCTGCCCGGCGAGGTCAAGCCTTTTCTCCAGAGTCAGAGACCTCTGTCAGCGCGTGCGGCGGGGCTGGAGGGAAGAACCCTTTTTCCCACCCTTCTCCCAAATTCGTCTCCACCGTAGGCCAGCTGTGGCCTGGCAGGGCCACACACAGAAGTCACCCTAGCTGTCACTTGTTGGGGCTAAGGAAACCAGGACATTGGTGTTCCCACCAAAATGACATGCACGGGGCCTCGCTGGGTGTCGGCTGGCACCTGGGCTCTGCGCGTTAGTTCTCTCAGCACGACCTTCTGTGGGTTCAGGAGTGTATTATTCAAACGACCTGCAGGGCACACCTGCCAGGGATGCCTGGAGGCCTGGGGTGAGCTGGCCACTGTGACAACAGGGCCGGGACAAGAGCCTGAGAAGGGGTGACAGCTGCCCCACGTGACACGGGACCCTGAGGGCCGAGCACGAACTGGTTCACCAGAGCAGAGCTGACGACCCCCCCCAGTGCTGTACCTTACTGCCCCTCGGGGTGCCCCCCATGCTGTGACGCTGGCCAGAAACACAGCACTGGGCTCCTGAGGGCATGTGGAAGCCCTGCTCTACACCCCACCTGTCCATCCCCCGCCTGAGCCCATGCCCCTGCCCTGCAGGTGAGAACGAGCAGAGGGCCCCCCTCCCCCCTTGACCGTGGAGCCCACCTGATCCTCTGCAAGGCCTCCCAGTCCCCACGAGGCCTGGTCACGGAGCCGTGCAGAGGATAAAGCCAACCACGGGGGAGGCTCAGCCCCGGGCAGTTACACCCCTGCAGACCAGAGCTGGGAGCCCGGGGGAACATCTCAGAACACAAAGAGGCCCCAGCCACAGGCTCCGGGTGTGATTTACGGTGGCAGAAAGTGCACATGTGCACAGGCTGGCCAACACCGGGCACAGGAGTGTCCCCTGCCAGGCCAGCCCTGGTGAGCTGGGGGCGGGGGTGACAGGGGACACAAGACACAGAGGTGGTCAAACGCCCAGGGGAGTGTGCCCACACCTGTCCCCCGCCCCTGGCTCACTGGGAAGGCGCAGGTCACTGTCTGTGCTTTCTTCGTTAGTCGGCTGTTTATAGCACACCGTGAACACTGGCCAAGGTGAGGGGTGGGCCTGTGTTCACGGCCATGTCTGGTGTCCAGTCCAGAGTTGGGCACCAGAATAACCCAGGGTGGGGCTTAAGTCCGAAGGGTGTGGGGCCCCTCTCCTCCCAGGGCCAGAGGGCCATGCAGTGGGGCGGGGGCTGCAACCAGACGTCACGGCTGAGTCCGTCCTGAGCTCGAGCTGGGCCGGCACCGCCTACCTCGGAAGCAGAGGTTGTTCTTGCAGCCGCCTCCGTAGCTGGGTGGGCACTCCGAGCAGGGCTGGCCGGTCTTGTAGGGCGCTTGTCCGATCCAGTTTCCCCTGGATTCAAAGACAGTGGTCAGCAGGGGCCACCACCAGGGTCTGGGGACTCCTCTCCTTCCTAGGCCCCCCAAAGAGAGTCCCCCACTGGCCAGGGAGGACGGACTTGTGGGCCATGTAAACAGAGAAGGGCAGGCAGCCACTCTGGCCTCTGTGCCAAGTCTGGAGACTTCTAGAAGAATCCCCGTGAGTGAGGAAGCACTGAGATGCCGGCCCTCAGCCCCAGCCCCGGCCCCGGCCCCCAGCCCTATCTTGTGCCTGTGTGGGCTGTGGGCCCCGCTTCCACCACCCCTGCTCTCCCGTAAGTCTGAACCCTGCCGGCCGCAGCCCTCAGTGCAAAGCAAAGGAGGGGGGGCTAAGGAAGCGAAGATTTTTACTTCTGACTGGACCTTCCACTGTCTATCTTCTGTACAAAAGTCAAATCAAATGAGTCCTCGCTCCTTACTTACCGCTCACCATAAATCCCGGCCCAGGTCGCCTAGCGCACTCCCCAGGGGTGTGTGCCCACCCCCCATGCCTAGTCCTGCCTGTGTCCTGTGGGCTGTGGGGACATTGCCACCCCGGGCACACCGGGTGGCTTTGGGGGAGTGTCCAGCTCCTCTGAGCCTCGGCCATTCCCCTTCATCCCGCCTTCTCTTAGCCACCCCGACCCCAACCGAACAGGTAAAGTGGGGGCCGACTCTCGGTCCCTGAGCATACCTGCCCCGAGGGCTCACTGTGCGCCCAGTGGGACGAGGACGGCGGCCACCCCATGGCCGGCGTGCAAACCCCAGGCTGCAGGCTGGGAGAGACGTCCTCCCAGCACGCGTCTGCCCAGGGAGCACTGGAGTGCATAACGGGGTGAACAGCACGCGGACCACCCCAGACTGCTAAACGGGAGGAATCTGGTGTAAACGTTTCAGGAAAGAAAACAAAAAGAGAAGAAGCCTGCTAGCGTGAGTATGTGTCCCTTGGGCACCGTGCGTGGTATTTTCAGGGGAAATACCACTACGCCAGACTCTGCCGCCTGCCCAGCCAGTGCGTGTTCTTGCTTCTGAGTCCGTCCAGCTGGTCCCAGAGGGTGGCCCATGAAGCCAACTGGGGGACTCTTGTTCCCCCTTGTCTGTGATCAGTCTAGCTCTAACTGATAACACAGGAGAAAGTGTATCTGAAAGTGTTGAGAAAGGCCCACGGAGACAGTCCTTCTCACCATTTTCTTTCCATCTACTTGGAAAGACTCGATGCTGGTGCTCCGCAGCCATCTTGGGACCATGAGGAAAGGATGGTCCAGCAGGAAGACAAAAAGAGCCTCGGTTTTGTGGACACTAATAAAACCAAGCTACTAAGCCAACCCAGAGGAGTTTGCAGTGCATGCCGGCTTCGGCTGGGCCCTCTGCTGCAGGCAGACCCCATCCCAAGGCACAAGTCATTGACGTGTTCTTACTTTGGATAGTAATTGCAGACGAGGTAGACAGCATTCTCCCAGACGTCTCCCCAGACGTTCATCTTCCGGCAGGTGTTCACGGCACAGCCCACCTTGTTGGTGGTGGCCCACACTATCTGAAAAGACATCGGTGTGTCAAGACTCCTTGGCCACATATGCCAGGGTGACGGACCTGGGTCTGCAAGGTGCTGACACCTACGAGGACTACGGTGGGGTCAGAGCAGATAGCGTTCCTAAGCCACTGAAGGCGCATGCGTGCTTTAAAAGAAACGACAGCGAACAACCCCCACAGGCGACAGCTGTGCCCGGTGACGAGCCTTGCCACAGACGTTCCTGAGCCGGTCTCGGGCTCGGACCTCGCAAGCCGTGAGATAACTGCCCACCAGTGCACTTGAGTGGGGCTGAGTCCCAAGAACGAGAACGCAAGCGCAGATTAGGGCTTTGGCAAGCATCAGGGAGGCCGGCCGGGTACCTGAGTGTAGTGAGTGCACATGGGCCCGGAGCAGCGCTCGGGGCACCAGGGGTTGCACTCGTGGGGGTAGGGGTAGGTGTAGTCCTTCACCTCATCATACCAGGACTGCACGTGGAAGCCAGGGGAGCGGTACCTGTGGGGACAGAACAGACCGTGACGCCCAGCCTCCACACCCGTGCATGGTGGAGCCCGACGCTCACAGCACTGCCACCCGGCAGGCCGGAGGGGCACCGCTTCAGGGAGCAGCCCCAAATTCCTGCTCACAGCTGCTAAAGGTGCTTGGATGCTATTGGGCCGGGACCCCAGGCACCCCGGGCTCACCCTGGGCTCCAGCAGAGTGCACGGTGGTCCTCATGCTCTGGGGCATGCAGGCCACCTCCCTGGACCCCGGCGGGTCCTCTGGCTGCTACTTATGGATTTATTTTGTGTAGCTGGGGAAATGCACAGAGCCCGCGCACTCTGCAGTCCAGGGGCACCAAGACAAAGCCCGATTTAAGACGTGAGTGCCCTTGAAGCCGAGGCAGAGGAAAACACTCGTGGCCCCCGGAGAGTGAGCACGGCAGGGCCTGTGGGGACGAGCAGCAAGAGGCGCCCACAGACCCGGCGTCTACACTGTCACGGCCACTTCCTTCCTTGGCTACCTGGGTGCGGTAAGAAACAGATTTCATTAGAGGCGCTGAGGCTCCACGGTGTAGACTCTGCGGTCGGGCAGGCAGACACTTTTTAAAACTTGGAATTTTGTATTTTATCACCTGGAGTCACCCCTTCATCCCCACCCAGTACTATCCATCAGCATCTCTTAGGGGTGCTACCATGTGCGTCTCCCAGGGGCATCCTTCATGGGGGCATCTCTTTGTGGCCACTGCCCCCTCACTCTGGCCCCATCTGCTGCTTGGACGAAAGAAAAGAAACTGCTTGCAAATCCCCAGCCAGGCCGGCCTCGGCAAGCGTAAACCACGTGGCCACGGTGAAGAAGAAAGGCCGGCAGGGATGCCGCCCGAGGGCTTCACCGGCTACTGCGCAGCGCCAGGGCAAACGGCGGTCGGTGCGCTGGGGGATGGCCAGCTCGGGGACACCCACACATGCAGGGAAGGGCTTCATCTTCTCTGGAGGACACTGACCACCCCATCCACTTCCCGCAACATCATGTGGACACCTAGTGCCGGTGCCCTTGGGGGACGCGCCTCGGCCACCACAGGGCCAGTGCTCTGTTCGAAAGCGGGTCAGTAAAATCCCCCTCTGGAGCCGCCCAGATGAAAAAGCTTGTGAGCCCATGAGAAGCCAACGCCGCGCTCAGCTCAGCTGCAGGCCTGGGCGCCCGTCACGCTGCTGGGCCCCCAGGCAGCCTGTCCGTGACGATCAGCACAACGTGACAGGGCGTGGCAGAGTGCTTGTCTGCTGCCGTGTGAGGGGGGAAACAAGAGCCGGACGCTGGCCAGGCCGTCGCGACTCTAGAAACACGCGGCTCACAGCCAGCTCTAGAAAGGAGGCAGGGACATGGAACCGGCGAGAGGTCACGGCCTTGCCCTTTCAGACATCGTCTCCTGCCACCTCGAGATTTGTAAGCAGCAAATCCACCAGAGAAAAACCGCCCTGTGGACCAGGCTCTGGGAACCCTAGCTCTCGAGCCACCGGAACAGCGCAGGTGGGTCCTGAAAGTACGGGGACCCCGAGGCCAGATGGAGCCCCACAGGAAACAGCCGGCAGGGCAAACGCAGCCCTGACCCGTGTCCCTCCTGCTGCAGCCGGGTCTGAGGGCGGGAGCGCGGGCCTGCGGAGCTCCCGGGGGCTGCACAGCCCTGACCAGCACCAGTTACCCGGCCGTGGACAGAAACCTTCCCTCTGGGGCACGCTGCACATGGCCCCGGGTAATGCACACTTACCTGGCAACTGGCCACGCCTCCTGTAGGAAGGGACAGGGCACTGCCAGACCACAGAGCCTCAGGGTGAGAGGAGCCCCCACAGGGTCGGGCATGGGAAAGTGAGGACACCCCCCCCAAGCTGGAGCTGGGTGGGCGTCAGGATCAGGTGGGACCCGGTGTGCTGGAAGCAGAGGATGCCACCGAGGGGCGCATGTCTCACTCCCAGCCACCACAGCCAGGCCCCTCTGGGCTGGCCACAAGCCTTTTGGGGAGACAGAACAGTGAGCCCCAGTCCACAGACCCCCCCCCCATTGGAACCCATTCTGCTGATGACTTGGCAGTGCCTCTGGGCAGGGCCCTCAGTCCCCATGCCACAGGACGGGCTGACTGCACTCACAGACACGGTAGTGCTCAGCTCCCAGGTGCGGGGACCAGACTGGAGGTGGCGTGACTCTTACCTGCCCCAGTGGACAGCCAGGTTCTGGCCGGCGGCCACCAGCAGGCGAGTGGGGCCGTGATCCCAGATGCACTCGTGGGCCCACTCCTCCGCAGACTTCTCCAGCTCCTCATCCCAGGTCTGCAGAGCAGGGGATGGGCACCCGAGGTCAGACCCCACTTGGGCTGCCCTTCTGGGGTCCGTAGCACTGGTGCCCATGTGGGTGGGTGGGAGGTGGAGGCGGCTCCCAGCCCCTCACAGCTCCTGTCTGGCCTCGGCCTTGCCAGTGACCTTGGGAAAGCTTCTCCCCTCGGCCTCAGTGCTGGCATGACTCCGTGTGGGAGGACAGGGGACAGTGGGCAGAGTCACCATACTGGCACTTCCAGGAGCCTAGAAGGCCTGCGGGCTGCAGCCTTCCTTCCAGGTGCGCTGCACCTGGGCCTCACCGGTGCCCCGTGTCCTAACAGTGGGCCCTGGGGTGCAGAGCGGGGAAGGCCTCGCTACGTGGCCTATGCTGGCCGACTCACGGCCCTCCTGCCTCAGCCTCCTGAGTGGGGACTGCAGGCAGCACCACCCTCTCCAGGGCAGCGCCAGGTGGTCAGAGCCCCCGTCCCCACCGTGCTACCTCCATGGTGCACCCCGATAGGGCTCACTTCTGCCTCGCAGGTCACCCCCAACGTGAACCACCTGCACCATGTCCTGCCCCAGGCTCTGCTCCGGAGAGCCTACACGGGCCCCTTAGACCTCGGTCTGTGCAGGGATCCTGCTCTACCATGTCTGCTCAGCAGGGCATTCCACGGGGCACTCGGGGGGCCTCCATGGGGCCCTTGGCGCGGCACTGGGAGGACTCTCTGTGGGGTGCTCAATGGGGCCAAGCCTCGGCTTCCTCACCCACAGAAGAGGCCAGCTCGCCCTGGAAGATGAAGCGAAGAGCCACCCGGGAGCCCCAGCCCCTGCCACGGCGCGGAGGCGGGTTCCGG